CAAAGCGATACTTGTGAGGAGTGTGCCTCTTAGCTCAAGCAGATACAAGAGGCTAAACTGGCAGCTTCTGTCTGGAGGTGAGATGCGAAGGCAGAGGGGGTTAGGAGCTGGCTGAATGGACATGAGGAATCAGGTGGAAAGGAGCAGTGTGCTGCCCGAGTATGGGGAGAGCAATTAGGGTCACATAATAATGTATGTATAAATTTTTTTATGGGAGACTAACTTGAAATGTAAACTTCATTTAAACTACAACAACAAAAAAAGCTCAGAATGATAGAAACCATGCCACTAGGTCAATGGTGGGTCTAGGGAACAGAAGACTACGTGATAAAAGAACAAGAGAAGTGTCTTTCCTGGTACAGAGATTTAATTTAGAGTGCATTAATTCTCTACTGCTATGTAACAAATTACCCTAAAACTTACTGGCTTAAAATATTAAACATTTATTATCCCATACCGTCTCTGTGGACCATCTGGGAGTTACTTAGCCGGGTGGTTCAGGCTCAAGATCTTCATGAGGTTGCAGTCAACACTGGCCTGGGCTACAGTCACCTGAAAGCTTGAATAGGGCTGGGGTACCCATTTCCAATATGAGTCATTCAGATGGCTGTTGGCAGAAGACCTCAGTTCCTCATCACCTGGGCCTTTCCATGAGGCTGCTCAAGCGTGCTCACAACAACATGGCAGCTGGCTTCTCCTAGTGCGAGCGACCCAAGAGTGACAACAAGGAGGAAGATGCAATGCCTTTTATAACCTGGTCTTGAAATCATACAGCATTACTCCTAGGACATTCTATTCATTAGAGGCTATATCCTATTTATTAAGTGCAACCCACACTCGATGTGAGGGGAATTAAGCTCCACCTCTTGAAGGAAAGAGTATCACAGAACTTGTGAACATTAACTTAAAATCATCATGTAGGGTGTTTGCTGTCCTCCCACCACTCTCTCCAGCTACCCAGTGCTACAAAGTAATAGAAGTAAACTGCGATGCAGAACTGCAGCCCTTCCCAAAAAGTTTGCTGTAAAGACCATGACAATCCATCCTCTTGCTTTAACTTCTTGAAAATACCTATCCCCTTTCCTTAAATGGAATCTTAAAGAATTTATACCAAAGAGAGAATGATCACACTCCTGAAACACTTGCGTTTTTCACTTGTATCTCTCATTAGTACAATTTCAGGCAGTTTTAACAAAGTGAAATTAAAAACAATTACAACAAACAACCTACTGTCAAAGTGGGTGGACTAAGATAGTTGAGGTTAGGAAAGCAACCTCCAGTAAACTCTCTCCCCTCAGCTGATTACGACCTGAGTGCCCTAGTAATTGAATATTCTGTGTAAGAGTCTTCCCTTCTCTTAGTCTTGGGAACCATGGGGTCTCTGACCTAGGTTTCCTAACATGATTCCCATGGCTGCAGCTCTCTAGAAACTGGGTGGGCATTCAAAGTGAGAAACTGCCGTGTAGTTCAAAGGCAGCTGGTGCTCTTGACAGTGGCCCTGAAGCATGAAGATTCTAAAGTGCCACCTGAATCTCCAGAGGAAAATGATGTTTGTGACTTTTCATCTTATTTTTTTTACTTGAAATGCGGTAATGTACATAGACTGGTGTAAAAATACAACATTCATAAACACTGGGTAAATAGCAGTTTGCACTACCATTCAACTCCAAGTAGAAGCTAGGAGCTTGACCTATGAGTTCTCCCGACAGTGTCTGTTTGAAATCTTGAGTCTTAACTTCAGTTTAGAACATGATGAAAGCTAAGGGACTTACCTCAGAAAATACACATATCCACAAAATTTTGCACTTAAGTTTAAAGCCTCCCGAACCTCCTAAAGCATGCCCAAGGACTCTGGATTAAAAATCTCTAAAACTTCCGTGAGGCAAATTAAAAAAAAAAAAAAGCGCTTATTGCCATTCCATTTTACCACTAATATTTAGATTTAAATCAGAAACCACTACTCTGGCAGAAAGGAACGTGGTGGTGGGCACACAGAGGATCGGCATATTTGCTGAATAACAATGGTAAACCTAGAGCAGGACACGGAACTGCTGACGGACCATAAACCTTGCCCTCTCCAAGTTGATCTGACTGTGCAGTAAAATTTACCAACTTGCCAGAGAGAGAAGAAGCTGTTCGCGAAAAGAAAAGCGGTTCGGCTTCCCACTTGGCAAGAAGACGCTGAATTTTTTTTTTGCGGAGGACGCGCATGCAAGATCCAGAGCCGAGATTCCCAAGACCCACCTCTGGTGGCGGGAACTCCGGGTAGCACCGCCCAGCCCCGGGCGGGACTGCTAGAAACCACCCCCTTGGCCTGAGGATCCCGGCTCCGCCGCAGATGCTTTTCATCCTGGGGAGGTGGAGAAGCCACGCCGGAATCGGGGGCTTCGCCTCGGGCGGGTAAGATGCTGCGCGACACCCCAAAGTTAGCGTCGGGCAGAGCGCCCGCCCCGCCCCCCCGGGGCCCC